AGACGTGGTGTCTCTTCTTAGAGATGGGCAGGACCGTTGTGATCTTTCCAAGACCCTGAACTGTATTTCACTTTTCTCTGGTTTTGTTGGGTTTCTTGTACTCGAAAAAGGCTTAAGAGGACATTAAATAATGGACTCGGTATTTACAAAGTGAGGTGATTCTCCTGTGGACGCCCAAACCTTCTGCCTGTGTGGCTGTGGCGCAGTCTGGGAAGGTGGAGTAGGGCCTTTAAGACTGATGAGCAGGAGAGGCAGCCTACTTTGTGAACTTAATTATCCTGTATTTTATTTATCTTTGTAGTGGTGGTGACTGAACCCAGCGTCCTCCGGCTGAGTCGCATCCCCAGACCTCTTCTACTTTTTGTTTTGAGACAGTGTTGCTAAGTCACTTAGATTTTCTGGGCGTGAATTTTTGACCCTCCTGCCTCGTCTTCGAGTGCTGGGACGGCAGACAGGCGCACCGCCCTGCGAGGCCACAGTTTACTTCTGAGGTCATTCTCTCCCACTTTAGGATTTTGTTGGTTATTTTGAGAACTGCAGTTTACTTTGTAGTCTAAACTGAGATGAAAGTAAAGTGCTGTTTCCCAGGTGTGAAAGTAGAAGATGGAGTTGGGGTGGCGGCGTGTGCCTGTTATCCCAGCGCTCGGGAGGCTGAGGCAGGAGAATCCGCATGAGCTTGAGGCCAGCCTGGGCTACAAAGTGAGTTCAAGGCCAGTCTGAACTATAGTGAGAGTATCTCAGAAAGACAAGAAAAAGAAATAAAAAGAAAGTCAAAGATGGTACTAAGATTTAGAATTTTTTTTCTTTTTAAAATAACTTGCAGTTTCAAAAAAAAAAAAACAAACTTGCAGTTTCATAGCAGCAGAGTGCCGTTTGAGTAAGGCCCCAGACTGTAGTGGTAACTAGGGAATCTCAGATCATTTTCAGTATACGAAAAAGCAACGACCACATTAGGTCCTCCATTTATCAAATGCAGGGACAGTCGTTGGTGTCTGTACTAAGGAAGTCCGTTCTTCGGGGAATATTTGCACTGAAACACTAGGAAATTAAGTAGAAGAGTGGGTTTGAAGGAGTAGAAGGAAACATTTTTTTGTGTTTGGTTGTTTGAGATAGGCTCTCACTATATAGGCTGGCCTTGGACTCACGTAGCCCAGGGTGGCTGGAACTCACAGTGATCCTCTTGCCTCGGCCTCTTTTTTTTTTTTTGGGTACTGGGACTCTTAACTCAGCACCTTGTGCTTGCCTCTTGAGTGCTGAGATTGCAGGTGTGCGCCACCATGCCTGGCTGAAGGAAACACTTTTTAAAATTATACCCAAGAGGTGTGAAGACATATCTCTGGATTCTGTGATATATTTGACATTGGGATGATTTGAAATAGTGCTTTCATCTCTACTCAAAGACACCGACTCCTGAGGACGTGGAAGTCTGCTAGGCGGGCTTAAGGCACACTGAGAAGTACTGTGTGGCTGGGCTTAGAACCTTTCTGAAAATCAAGCACCCTGAAGAGCAGTTGATGAGGCTTTAGTTCTAATTTAATAGATCAGACAGGAAGTAATTCTGCAGAGAACTTTCTAGGCATTTCAAGTTTAATTTCAGGTTTGACCTCACAACTATAATAGTACTTTCAAAAGGCCTAGATTTGTCTTTTTTTTTTTTTTTGCAGTACCGGGGATCGAACTCACGACCTTGCGCTTGCCAGGCAGGCGCTTATGCCACTGAGCTATATCCACAGCCCTTTTTTTTTTTTTTTTTTAAGTACTGGGGATTGAACTCAGGGCCTTTCTCTGCACTAAGCTACATCCCCAGTTCCTTGCCCTCCTTTAATTTGGAGAAAGTTTTGCTAAGTTGTCTAGGCTAGGCTTGAACCTGGGGTCATTCTGCCTCAGCCTCCAGTGCTAGAGTCACAGGTGTGTGTCACCATACCTGGCTTGTATTTTGATAAATTAAAGGGTATTGTGTTAGATCCATATGCAGAGGGGCTGTGTCTAGCTTTGAAACCAGAAATGGGAAGGTATAAAGGGGATTAGTGGCTTCCTGTGGGGAGTTAGGACACCCCTCCCCCAAGGCCCACCTGGCTGAAGTGCTGCCCCGTCTGTCCACGTTGGACCGCGCAGGTCTGGGGCTGTGCAGATTTGGATCACGTTTCTTACCCACTCTTATCCAGAAGTTCCTGGGTTTACAGACTTGGAATACTTTGCCTTTCATCACTCCCAGGGCACTGAGAAGAGTTTAGGTCAGCTCCTTATTTACAGAGACTTTGGTTATCCCTGCAAGGAAATAAATCAGGAAGAGCCAGACCTTCCCAGTGGCTGGCTGGTTTGATTATTTTTTCTTTTGCAATGTTGGGGGTGGAATCCGGGGCTTTTGCATGGAGCTGCAGCCCCAGCTCTTTGCTTTTTTTTTTTTTTTTTGTCTTTTTGTGACAGGGTCTCGCTATGCAGTTCAGGCTGGCCTTGAGCTCACTTTGTAGCTCGAATAGGCTAGTCTCGAATTTGCAGCGATCCTCCTGCCTCAGCCTCCGGAGTGCTGGGATTACAGGCGTGCGCCACCACACCTGGCCTTTTTTTTTTTGTATTTTGATACACGGTCTCACTAAGTGGCCAAGCTACCCAAGCTGTGCTCAAACTGGCGATTCCTGTGCGGGCACTGCCACATATGCTTGCTGGTTTCATTTTGAGGTGAGGCTCCGCACACGAGAGCTCCCATCTGTACTGCGGGTGTCTACACTTGCATGTCGCCTTGTCCACCGCAGCTCCTCCCTGCCTCGATGGTGATGTTGCTACCTTACGTGGTAGCCATGTTATTTTGGCTTCTGTTTTTTCCTTCAGTCAAATGGAACTTCCTTGCTGCCACGCTTTTTGGAGATACGTATTATTCACTGCTCCAGAGTTCTGGTTTTATCTCTGTTCCTTACTTTAATGTCTTGGGTAGGTTAGTCCTCTGTACTCTCCTCACCTGTGAGATGAAGGGGCCTACAGAGCAGCAGGGGGACAGCTACTGAGTTTCTGAGTGCCAGTGCTTTGTGACCTAAGTGGCTGACTTCTCGCGTCGGTGCTGTGTTCGTGTGTGTTCTAAGGGTTTAGCTGTACCAGGGGCCAGTGAGCTCTGCCCGGTGAGTCATAGACACTCCCCAGGCTGCTCTCACGGCTCACGATCAGAGGATGGTTCTTACATTGGAAGAGGTTGTAGACATGAAGAGAATGAGAGGACTAGCCACAGACCAGGAGAAAATATTTGCAAAAGACACATCTGATGCCGTGCTGTTATCCAAAATGTACAGAGAGCTCTTAAAGTGACACAGTAAGAAAACAGGCTGGGGATTTAGCTCAGCGGCACAGCTCCTGCCTGGCAAGAG